GTTCCATGGGGGTGGGAATTTGGATGTTATCTGGTCCTTGTGGAAAGTACAATTCAATGTGAAGTTCCATGGGGGTGGGAATTTGGATATCATCTTATCCTTGTGGAAAATCCAAGTCAATGTGAAGTTCCACGGGGGTGGGAATTTTGATATCATCTTATCCTTGCGGAAAGTCCATGTCAATGTGAAATTCCCCGGGGCTAGGAATTTTACATCATCGTTTCCTTGTGGACAGTCCAAACCAATGTGAAGTTCCACGGGGCTGGGAATTACATATCACCTTTTCCTTGTGGAAAATCCAAGTCAGTTTGAAGTTCCATGGGGGTGGGAATGTTGATATCATCGGACCCTTGTGGAGATTCCAAGTCAATGTGAAGTTCCATGGGGGTGGGAATTTGGATATCATCTGACCCGTGTGGAAAGTACAAGTCAATGTGAAGTTCCATGGGGGTGGGAATTTGGATATCATCTTATCCTTGTGGAAAATCCAAGTCAATGTGAAGTTCCACGGGTTTGGGAATTTTGATATCATCTTATCCTTGCGGAAAGTCCATGTCAATGTGAAGTTTCATGGGGGTGGGAATTTGGGTATCATCTTATCCTTGTGGAAAATCCAAGTCAATGTGAAGCTCCACGGGGGTGGGAATTTTGATATCATCTTATCCTTGCGGAAAGTCCATGTCAATGTGAAGTTCCATGGGGGTGGGATTTTTGATATCATCCGATCCTTGTGGAATTTCAAGTCAATGTGAAATTCCCCGGAGGTAGGAATTTTGATATCATCGTTTCCTTGTGGACAGTCCAAACCAATGTGAAGTTCCACGGGGCTGGGAATTAAATATCATCTTTTCCTTGTGGAAAATCCAAGTCAATTTGAAGTTCCATGGGTGCCGGGAATGTTGATATCATCGGACCCTTGTGGAGATTCCAAGTCAATGTGAAGTTCCATGGGGGTGGGAATTTGGATATCATCTGATCCTTGTGGACATTCCAAGTCAATGTGAAGTTCCATGGCGGTGGGAATTTTGATATCATCTTATCCTTGTGTGGAAAATCCAAGTCAATTTGAAGTTCCATGGGGGTGGGAATTGTGATATCATCTGATCCTTGTGTAAAATCCTTATAGTTTCTGCAGCGCGTTCTGAATCGTAGTGTGTGAATCGTGGTTTCTGAATGGCATTAGTTGCTGAATCGCGTTAGTTTCTGAAGCGTAGTTTCTGAATCGCGATAGTTTCTGAATCGCGATAGTTTCTGAATCGCCATAGTTTCTGAATCGCTTTAGTTTTTGAATCGCGGTAGTTTCTGAATCGCGATATAGTTTCTGAATCGTAGTTTCTGAATCGCGATAGTTTCTGAATCGGGATAGTTTCTGAATCGCAAAGTTTCTGAAGCGTCGTTTCTGAATCGCTTAAGTTTCTGAATCGTAGTTTCTGAATCGCGATAGTTTCTGAAGCGTAGTTTCTGAATCGCGATAGTTTCTGAATCGCGATAGTTTCTGAATCGCCATAGTTTCTGAAGCGCGATAGTTTCTGAATCGCCATAGTTTCTGAATCGTAGTTTCTGAATCGCGTTAGTTTCTGAATCGCAATAGTTTCTGAATCGGTGGAAATAGTTTCTGAATCGTAGTTTCTGAATCGCCGTTAGTTTCTGAATCGGCTTTGGACCCTAGGAACGCGAAGGACCCAAACCTGACCTAGAGAGGAAAGCGCGCATGAGATAGGGGACCAATGGGGAACTAGTTGATGAAAAAAGATGCATCCACATTGCATGCAAGATTCGTGATAAGGCCCTCGGCATTCAAGTCACAACCCTGTAGACGGCTTACGTGTTCAACCCCCGAATTACGTGCAGAATTGAACCTCACCAAAGTAACCAAAAGGAAGTGACCAAACCTTTAAAGCATGTCCTGTTACCTGATCATGTGTAAATGGCTGCGGAGTGGCTGTCTCTTGAAACAACAGGAAGATTGTTGTCGCAGCTTAAGACTATGCATTGGCTGTCCAATGAAAATGGTGAGGCCAGGAAAAGCGGCCAGCTGTTCAACACATCGACATCGACAAATGAGAAAAGGAAAAGGGTGAGGCCAAGCGGCCAGCGGTTCAACACAACGACATCGACGGGTGAGACAAGGAAAAAAGGCCGGCTGTTCACTTTACTTAAACGAATTACTAATTCAAAAGTGTAAATTCAGACATCGTTTTACCGTCAATTGTTAGCCTAGAAAGGCTTTCCCCGAAGGGCTCATACCACCTTGACGGATATCGGCATGAGTGACACACTTGCTCAGAAACATCTTATCGAATTACTGATGTGGAATGCATCGCACGTGCAAAAACACTTCAGTTAAACCTGACAGGAATGGTTTGGTGATTGGAAGTGAGAAACTGTGGGAGGAAATCTTTCTACGTCCTTGCTCGAAGGATTTACTTGTTCTGATGCAGCTCAGTCAGATTGCGAAAACCGTACAGTAGTTTGAAAACTGTTGGAAAAACGACATGCCGGTTCTTGGCTTAGCCGGTTGCCATTGACAAAAAACTGGAAAATTGCAGGTACGTTTTCACAGGAACATTGCAGCGTCTTCGTTGGCCGCTGACTGCAATGTTCCCCAGCGGCCCCCTGCATGAAATTGGATATTAGGTAGAAGTTTTACATCAATTCAGATGCTTCACACACACACACACACTTTCACTCACAAAGGCTTTTACACACAGACGCTTACACAGAGACTTTTACACACAGACTCCTTTACACACAGACGCTTTTACACACAGACGCTTTTACACACAGAAGCTTTTACACACAGACTCCTTTACACACAGACGCTTTTACACACAGACGCTTTTACACACAAACGCTTTTACACACAAACACTTTCACACACAGAGGCTTTTACACACAGAAGCTTTTACACAGAGACTCCTTTACACACAGACGCTTTTACACACAGACGCTTTTACACACAGACGCTTTCACTCACAGACGCTTTTACACACAGACACTTTCACACACAGAGGCTTTTACACACAGACGCTTTTACACACAGACGCTTTTACCCACAAACACTTTTCACGCACAGAGGCTTTTACACACAGAAGCTTTCACACACAGAAGGTTTTACACACAAACACTTTCACACACAGAGACCGGACACGTGAAATCACAATTTTACCGCAGTTTTTGGCGATCGAACCTCATTTCGTGCGAAAGGGTGGCGATCGGACCCATGAAATCGCAATTTTACCTCAGTTTTTGTGACGTCCAACGTCCATTTCGTGCGAAAGGGTTGCGATGGATACCTCAAAATCGCAATTTTACCGCAGTTTTTGACGTCCAACGTCCATTTCGTGCGAAAGGGTTGCGACGGACACCTTAAAATCACAATTTTACCTCAGTTTTTGACGTCCAACGTCCATTTCGTGCGAAAGGGTTGCGACGGACACCTCCAAATCGCAATTTTACCGCAGTTTTTGACGTCCAACGTCCATTTCGTGCGAAAAGGTTGCGGCGGACTAGCCAAAATCGCAATTTTACCTCAGTTTTTATTTGTGACGTTCAACGTCCATTTCGTGCGAAAGGGTTGCGTTTCGTGGCGCTCCGGCGCACCGCCCCCGCTTTAAGAGAGAGATATAGAAAGAAGAGCGAGAGAAGATCCGCAGATGTGAAGGTGCGAGGAAGTAGATCTGCAGATGTGAAGGTGTGAAGATGTAGATCTGCAGATGTGAAGGTGTGAAGATGTAGATCAGCAGATGTGTGAAGATGTAGATCTGCAGATGTGAGGGTGTGAAGATGTAGATCAGCAGATGTGAAGGTGTGAAGATGTAGATCAGCAGATGTGAAGGTGTGAAGATGTAGATCAGCAGATGTGAGGGTGTGAAGATGTAGATCAGCAGATGTGAAGGTGTGAAGATGTAGGTCAGCAGATGTGAGGGTGTGAAGATGTAGATCAGCAGATGTGAGGATGTGAAGATGTAGATCAGCAGATGCGAAGGTGTGAAGATGGATCAGCAGATGCGAGGGTGTGAAGATGTATTACAACGGCTTCTTTTTTACGAAGAACCCTTCGCAGGCGCTCTCGGGAAAAAACTAGTCAACACCGGGGTGTTTATTATTATGGTCCGTCCGAGATTTTTTAGTGTTTCATATTAGGGCTTTTAATATATTATGAGGGCCCGCTTCGAAATCTAATTTTTGCCTATATTTACATAAGGAAGTTTAATTGATTTTGAAATCGAACAAGCTAGATTTTATTACTAAGGTTCTAATTTTGTTAATAGGGTCCGCTTCGAAATCCAATTTTTGGCAATATTTTAGTTGCGTTATATAAGGAAATTGAATTGATTTTGAAATCGGAAAAACTAGTTTTTATTCTTAAATTTTAAATTTGATTAATAGGGTCCGCTTCGAAATCCAATTTTTGGCAATATTTTGGTTGCGTTACATAAGGAAATTCCATTGATTTTAAGAAATTGAACAAACTATTTTATTATTATATAAGGTTTTAAATTTATTAAAGGGGCCCGCTTCGAAATCCACTTTTTGGCAATATTTTAATTGCGTTATATAGGGAAATTTAATTGATTTTGAAATCGAACAAACTAGATATTATTACTAAGGTTCTAATTTTGATAATAGGGTCCGCTTCGAAATCCAATTTTTGGCAATATTTTAGTTGCGTTATATAAGGAAATAGAATTGGTTTTGAAATCGAACCAATTAGTTTTTATTATTACGGTTTGAAAATGTTTTAAATTTACTAGTAGGGCCCGCTTCGAAATCCAATTTTTGGCAATATTTTAGTTGCGTTATATAAGGAAATTTAATTGATTTTGAAATCGAACAAACTAGTAGTTTTTGTTATTAAGGTTTTAAATTTTATTAATAGGGTTCCCTAAGAATAAAAACAGCCCTAATAATAAAAACTACCTGAGGTGCTTATTATTCGGGGGGGACGTTTAGTATTAAGGAAAGGGTTATCACAAACTATAATCAACCCCGTGCACCTTGGATTCTTGCTCTGTTGCACGGCTTGAGATAGCACGGACATGCAGACTTTTTCGCGCAGGAAAGAAATTGCTCGAGACAGTTGTGTCTGTGGGGTCTGAAGTTGCAATCTGCGGGAAGATAGTTCGCACCAGTTTGCAGTCGGCTCGCAAGGCAATTCAATCAGGGTGTTCACAAGCCCACGGCATGGGGTCATTGGATCTGAAGCAAAGTTGGGAAAGCCCCATGCCAAGGTAACTTGCGAGTATTGCATGAGTCAGCACGACGGCTGTCTGCATCTCCCAAGCTGAACCGCTGTGAGCCCAACCAGAAGCCGCTCAAAAGGCGTGGTGACAATCTGCACCGCCAAGTGTGGCCGACGGGTGGTGAAGAAGTGGACGTGTGAAAAATCGCTCGTGGAAGCTCCACGCAGCACTCACTTGGCACCATCTACCATCATCTCTCTCTCCATCGATAGCTATTTCTCCTCTGCATTTTTTCCAAAGATCTCTGCCTTCTGCACTTGGAGATGCTGAAAGGCTTCCGTTGCCAACCCGTGGCGATGTCTGTTCTTGTCAGGATGCCACCTTATTGCTTGCAGAAATCCAAGAAGCGCGGAATTTGAAACAGGTCAGATGAAATAAAACTCCACCAAATAGCAGAAAACACGGAGCTTAGTTTCACGACAGGGCACTCAAAGAGTAAGCGACGCAAGGCAGCCTTGCGTTTGGCTGGCTTCATAAGCTTGATCTGGGCCAGCTGCTCATCAATTTGCACAAGCTGCTGTTGAAGCCCAAGGCTAGGATTCCTTCAAAGGTAAGAAGCAAAGCAGCAAGGATCAGAAGGAACAAAACAAATCCCGTTGTTTTGGGGCTGCAGGCAAAATCATGCGCAAGTTGCTGCAAGACTCTGTGGCATATGTCAGCCATATCGAATCGGCAAAACGCTAAAGGGGGCTCACAGTTGCAATTGGATGTCTATAAGACTCCCGGTGATAATAAAGGAACATACAGGATGATCTCTACTTACCGGTGAAGCAAGCTTTTTGTTAACCCTCAAAGGATCTAGGATTCTCTTCCTGGCCCTGATTGTCCTCCAAGCCAGCTCTGCAGCGCCCAAAGCTCGCAATGGTTGCAACCCAAGCAAATTCACAGCCACCTCGCTCGCTTTGCTTCAGCTTTGTGGTGCTCGGCAGAGCACATGACATGAACATACGTAACATAGATGAACCAACAGCATTACAAAACCTCTCCCCCTACCACTCCTAGCTGCTGATCTACAGTAAGCCGTGGCGCATGGAAGACTCGACAGCTTGGCAGCAAGGCAGCGCTACAGGGCGCTACACTCAAGATAGACATTCAGACTTGGATGATCTTATCTTATTTTTTCATCTTTTTGTGGAAGATCATTGCCTGGCTGCGCAAAGGATCCCCCAGCAGCTCCAATGAACGAAATAGACGTGGAGTCGATGTGGCCACGGAGGAAGGCTCGCCGTTCTCCAACGCAATAGCGCCAAGCAGTGTAAACAACAATGGTGCACAGTCTTCTGCCTGCTCAACTGCTCAAGAGAGCGTGCTCAAATGGAAAGCAAATAAAGCAAGGATACCATCAAGAAAAACGAGCCGTTGAGCCTTTTCGTAAAACTGAACATGCCTGGACTATCTTAGTCATTCTTAGTCTGCATAAGGATGCCTTTACTCCAGAATGATTTGTGGCTGAACCATGTGTTCAAAATATATCCCTACCCCCTTAGGGGGGGAGGGGGCAAACAATTGTAACTTACATTTATGCGGGTTGCTGTACGCGAAAAAATGTAAGTTACGTTTTTTGGGGTTGCCAAAAAAAAATCATATTACATTTATTTTTCTTGGAACGCCCATCAATTTAACTTACATTTTTAAGGCTAACTAGTCCAACTTACATTTTCTGCGCTGTCCAACCCCAAAAGTTGTAATATTACATTTCTGGAACCCTCAATTATCTTGGGAAACCAGAGGATAAATAGGGGGTAAGGGGGGGGGTGGCAAAAAATGTAACATGGTACGCGGCGCGTGCTAACTTATACTCGGTAACGGTAAGCTGGCACACGACTTCTGGAAAATAAGATGGCACAAACGCCAAAAATCAAAAAATAAATTACTCTACTTCGTGTGATCCCCACCATGACATGTCAGGACGTATATTTGGACATATATTTAGTATATTCTGACATCCTATCTGACATATATTCTGGCATATATTCTATTCTGGCATATATCCTGACATTCCACCTGGCATTCTATCTGGCAGTCTATCTGGCATTCTATCTGACATATTTTCTGACATTTCATCTGACATATATTCTGGCATTCTACCTGTCATTCATTCTGACATATATTCTGGCATTCTATCTGACATATATTCTGGCATATATTCTGGCATTCTATCTGACATATATTCTGGCATCTATGTTGGCATTCTATCTGGCATTATATCTGACATATATTCTGGCATTCTATCTGACATATATTCCGGCATATATTCTGGCATTCTATCTGGCATTATATCTGACATATATTTTGGCATTCTATCTGACATACATTCTGGCATATATGTTGGCATTCTATCTGGCATTATATCTGACATTCTATCTGACATTCTATCTGGCAGTCTATCTGGCATTCTTTCTGGCATTCTTTCTGGCATTCTATCTGGCATTCTATCTGGCATCCTATCTGACATTCTATCTGGCATTCTATCTGGCATTCTTTCTGGCATTCTTTCTGGCATTCTTTCTGGCACATTCTATCTGGCATCCTATCTGACATTCTATCTGGCATTCTATCTGGCAGTCTATCTGACATTCCTACATGAGGTCCGGCAGGGAACACTTGGCATGGATACTCGCGGTTGAGGTCCGGCAGGGAACACTGGGCGTGGATGGTCGTGGTTGAGGTCCGGCAGGGAACACTGGGCGTGTATGGTCGGGGTTGAGGTCCGGCAGGGAACCTGGGCGCGGATGGTCGTGGTTGAGGTCCGGCAGGGAACACTGGGCGTGGATGGTCGTGGTTGAGGTCCGGCAGGGAACACTGGGCGTGGATGGTCGTGGTTGAGGTTCGATAGCGAACACTGTGGATCGCGAGTCGCAGTTGAGCAGGAGGACGAGGAGGACAACGAGAGGAGGAGGAGGAGAGGAGGACGAGGCAGGAGGAGGCGGAGGAGGAGGAGGAGGAGGAGGCAACTGACATAAAATCTAACAACCCTCACCTGGCAGGTGGGGAAAAAATAAGATGGCAACCGAATACCATGGCAGAACCAGGTGTGCCATCTATCTGTTCCATAAATGGGGGGTGAAATGGCCTAAAACCAAACGTCAGGACCCAGTCGATATACTTCTCCAGGAATGTGCCATCTTAGGGGTGTCAAATCCACGCGCAGCAAACTCTTCCTTTTTTGTTCCCCTGCTTCTGAAAATTCAGAAAATTTAGAATTACATATATATATATATTATATATATTAAAATATAGAGAATTCAGAAAATTCAGAAAATTCAGAATTATAAATATATATATATATATGTTTAAATATAAAGAATTCAGAAACTTCAGAAAATTCCGAAAATTCAGAATTATATATGTATATATAAATATTTAAATATAAAGAATTCAGAAAATTCAGAAAATGCGGAAAATTCAGAAAATTCAGAATTAACCCAGCTTTGCAACCCAACAGCATACCTGAATCTTCCACCTACGTCTTTTTTCAGACCCTGTGCCAAAGTCCTGTTTTTTCAGTACCCAGAAAACTTTTCAGGACCTACTCTCAAATTCGGGACCTGGCCATTTTGGGGTATCAATGGTAATGGCAATCATTGGGTGCAAACATGTGAAACCAACATTTGGTGGATATTCAAGCCATTGGCATTGATCCACGCAAATAAAAGCACTCCCAGCCCAAACTCATGGCAAGGCAGGATCAGAATATAGTATATTCCAGAAAGTATGTCAGAATAGATGCCAGATAGGATGCCAGAAAGAATGTCAAATAGAATCTCAGAAAGAATGTAAGATAGTATGTCAGAACATAATGCCACATATACGTCCAGATGATATGTCAGAAACTATGTCAGAATAGTGTGTCAGGGTGGGGATCACTCTTAGTAAGGCAATTTTGAAAATATATTTCAGGTTCGGAATTTTCAAACTGTTGTCCTTCAGGCGCCGAAGCTCCCGTTGAAGGTCAGCATCGCCCCATGTCAACTGGTCCAGTCCCACTTCCATTTCAACAAGTCCAACTTCATCGATTAGGGTGTTGGTTGAATGGACTTGGGACTCTAGCTGGCACGGCATCCCTTGTAACCCTGTAGACACTGTAGTGGGCAAAAAGATTGTAACACACAGAATCAGCATCATTTTGATCAGGCATTCTTTTTGCTAATCCTTTCTCCCTATTACGAAAAATACCCCCAAATGACAAAAACTAGGTGCGATTTCCAATTTTGGGAAATGTCAAATTGGTTAATCTGATTTTTAATTGATCCCCTTGAGGAAACAATTTTAAAAATGAAGGTACCATGTGAGGGTTTCACCCCCAAAGAATAAAAAACTAGTCAACACCGGGGTGTCTTTTATTGGGGTCCGTCCTTTAAAATCGTCAATTTTAGTTTTTTAAATTCAGGTGTTGGTGTTTTATTTGGTACTAGGCGAAAGCTTCGAAATCCTATTCTTGGCAGTATTCTATTTAAAGATTATTTTCATGGATTTTGAAATTAGAAACAAAAAACGTTTAATCCCTTCCCCCTGTTGCTAAACAGTCGCCCCTTCACCCACCCACCCAAATAACAAACACCTGGAGGAGTTTTTAGTATTGGAGGGGTCTTTAGCATTAGGGTACGAAGCTTCCCCCTAATACTGATAAGAAACACACACACACATATATATATATATACACATATTTCTATTTCAAAATCGATCAGATTTCTTTCTTTTTAAATCCAATTAAAATATGGCAAACAAGTGGATTCCGAAGCTTAATATCAAATAAAAACCCCCAACATTAAAAAAAAAAACTATGTATGTTTTTCTATTTCGAAATCGATTAGATTTCCTTTTAAAAATTAAATAAAATATGGCCAAAAAATTGGATGTCGAAGCTTTTCCCTTATATTAAACCCTAATATCATTTTGTTTTTTTCCTGTTTCAAAATCGATTAGATTTCCTTTTGAAATCTAATGAAAAAAATATAAAATTGATTTTGAAGCTTTCCCCTAATATCAAATTAAAATCCAATTATTAAAATATGTTCAAAAATTGGATTTCGATGCTTCCCCTAATCTTGCATGAAAAATTCCAATATAAAAAACTAAATTTGTTCTATTTCAGAATCGATTAGATTTCCTTGTAAATTCAAATAAAGATATTGCCAGAAATTCGATTTCGAAGCTTTCCCCTCATATCAAACCCTCATATCAAAGACTATTTTTCTATATCAAAATTCATTAGATTTCCTTTTGAAATCTAATTAGAATATGGTCAAAAATTGGATTTTGAAGTTTTCCCCTAATATTACATTAAAAACCCTAATATAAAATATTATTTTTTCTTTTTTGAAATCGATTCGATTTCCTTTTAAATTGTAGTAACAAAAATAAAAACAAAAACCGGATTTCGAAATGTTTCCTCTAATATTAAATTACCAGCCCTAATATATTTTTAAAAAAAAACTGTTTCAAAATCGATTAGTTTTCTGTTTAACATATAATTAAGATATTGCTAAAAATTGGATTTCGAAGTTTTCCCCTAAGATTAAATTAAAAACACTAATAAAAAAAAACTATGTTTTTTCGATTTCAAGAATCGATTAGGTTTCCTTTTGACATCCAGCAAAAATATGGCCAGGAAATGCCAAAAAGTGGATTTCGAAGTTTTCCCCCAATATTATATAAACGTTGTAATATAAAATACTTATTTTTTCGACCTTAAAAGACCCTAGTTTAAAAAATCACCGGGGCTGACTAGTTTTTATTTTTTGGTGGTGAAATCCTGAAATGGGACCTTCATGTTTAATTTGTTTTTGAAAAGGTATCAATTAAAAGTCAAACTGGCCAGCCTGAAATTTAACGCGGACCCTAGTAAAAGGAATCAATGTAATATTTTAGTATTTAGGGTACGTTTAGTAAAAGGAGGTGGGGATTAGTAAGGCTTTCAATTTAATATAAGGGGAAGCTTCGAAATCCAACTTGAGAGGGGGAACACGAAAGGTAGGTAAGCAAGAAAGGAACCGAAGAAAAAATGAAGGGGAGAGGGGAGGGAAAAATACATAAAGTGGAGTCTGGTAAAAGCGACGCGGCCATTGTCTTTCCAAAAATATGAAGGGGAGCCTGGTAAAAGCGACTGAAAGGCTTCGGCGATGTGGTTGGGGTTGGTGGTGGTTGTGGTGTTGGTGGTGTTGGTGGTGCTGGTGGTGTTGGTGGTGTTGGTGTTGTTGGTATTGGTGTTGTTGGTGTTGTTGGTGGTGGTAGTGTTTCTGGTGTTGTTAGTGTTGTTAGTGTTGTTGGTGTGGTTGGGTTTGTT